TCGTGCTTTCGCTGCCATGGAGGCTTCCAAGGGCAAAAAGTGGCTTGGCATCAGGAGTTGGTTTGTTTGTTATTTTCTATACTGCAAGTCTTGCATGCATTTCGTAGTGTGTGTGTGTACTGTAGAACAGTTTTTGTTCTGACTTTCTGAGAAAGAACGTAATAACTTAGTGCTAGACCTCAGCTAGCTGCCTTGAAGACGAACCCTTGACTGCAGGTAATTGATCACGAGACATTGTGGTGAGCGTGGCATGGGAAAAGGGCCAACTGCACCCCTTGGTCATGTGCGGCTTCGAGGAAATTCGGTTGACATTCAATTCAAATTCACCATAATTTTTGTGGCTTTTGTGCTTTGGCTCAAGGTGGGCAAATGTACATGATGGTGTACATGGACCAACAATATGGTTTGAACGGGTACTTGTAGTGGGCTTTGGTTGTTTTGATTTGTCTCAAGGATTTCGAGGCAGTGAAGCCATGGATTTCGGACTTGGCGGCGGTATAGGCAGGATGACACATTGTCACCGTCAACCTCAGGAGTTGTGTCCATTTCACTCCGGGCTCTGGGTTTGATGTGGTTTTTAAGCAGATTGAGTAGATTGTATGCTGCTGTACTGTATTTCTATTTTCTCTCTTGCTCGGCTTCTGGTTCTATGGTTGGCATCGGTATTCTATGTGTGACACAAGCAACAAGCTGTCCTAGCTTCATCAGTCAGATAAAACCTGGCTGTTGGCACCTCTTTTTTGCATGCCGGAGAAGAATCACATAGCAACCAGTAGGTGTTTCAAGCTTGCATCCGACACGTTTGTGATTGAATTTGATTTCTTGGCGAGCACTGGTAATCAAAAACCAGTATATAGATTCCATTTCTAATAGGGCCTCCACCCTATTAGTAGCGATGGCATCCAACCTAGACAATTCCTATTTCTGTCTAGTTGACTTTTGCTTTGCTTGATCTCTGCTCGTTTTTGTTTTCGATCAGGGCCCAGCCCGATGGGCATGACCCCTGGTGGTCCTGGCGGCCCGGGCGGTGGCCCCGGGGGTCCGGGCGGAGGCGGTGGTGGTGGTGGAGGCGATCAAGCGTATGGCAGGCGGGGGGAGATGTTCATTGCCCCGAGATTTTGAGATTTTGTTGGAAATTGGAAATGATTGGTCAATGTTTAATAGTTTAATCTAGATTCAACTTGATTCAACTCATCCTCAACAGACGCAACTTGTTTAATTGTTCCTTTAGACTAACCTGGCCAGGCGAAATGTTCGACTGGCACCTGAAGTGAACCGTGTCTTGGATTAACATTGCCATGACAGAAACCGGACACCTTTATTTATTTATTTATTTACTATTTTTTTTAAATAAGGCATCTTGTACGTCCGCAACTTGCCGTACAAAATCAGCAGGGCTCCAAGCTGTGCATGCAGATTGCATCATCCTAGACTGGATTTAGTGGTTATTCCTCCGTCCACTTGGATTCCTCCTGTTCTGGTGCTGAGGTGCTGACGAGCTGTACGATATCTTTGGCAAGTATGGTTCCATTCGCCAGATCCGCCGCGGCAACGGTCTCCGCCTTTGTTGTGTAGCCCTGTTGTCGGAGTCTAGCGTCAACTTACCCACAGGGGCAAAACTTTCAAGACGAGCTTGGAATGGTCAGGTCCAGAAACAAGAGGAACTTGCTTTGTCGTCTACGATGATATCTATGATGCGGGGCAGCATAGCTCTAGAGCTCATGACATGTGCAGCTCATGCAGAGCCACGGGCCTGTGCAGCTCGTGACGTGAGCGACATGGACGGAGCCACGGGCCTAGGCCAAGAATGCCATGGATCACCTCAGTGGTTTCAACGTGGCTGGGCGGCCGGGGCTCCTGACAGCTCCGGACGTGGCTAAGAGTCGTTGGCAACCATGGCTAGCAGGGCTAAACCATGTCGTCCAAGAGCCAAAAAAGTATCAGCTTGGCAAAGAGGGTTTAGCATTCTGTCTTGACTTTTTTTGACCAGGTTTGTTTGTTGATCCCTAGAGAAAGGGTGGAATTTAGTTTTCCATCAGGTCAGCACGGCAGCATTTGTTGGCTTTAGCTTGTGCTTTGCAGCTTCGAGGTATTTAGTGCTCCTCTACTACAATCCACAGAAGATGCAGGCAAAGGTGGATGCCAAGAGCAAGCGTGATGAGATCGATAGACTCAAGAAGAAGCAACTCGGTAGTGTTGGAGGACGGGCTTTTTGATGGTCCAGCTTGATGATCCCAGTCAAGCATGTGTTTGCACGTGTTTGCGAATAGCAACTACAAGCCTTCGGAGAGTGCCTTTTGTGCAGCCTCAAAGGTGGTTTTAAAGCTGGGCTAAGGTTCCTGTGAGCTGCTATGGTGTACGAAGATATAATTTGCTGTGCAGAGCTTGGTAGGGAATGGCTGCTCTTGGTGGGGGTGACGGACATGGAAGACTTCACACGAAGCGAAGCGGTTCAAGTGTTGCGGCGTCTCAACATGTGGATGTGCTTAGTCTTTCTGGTTGAGACACCCCGAACAGTCAAGAAACCTCCAAGTAGCAGCCACTTCACTTGTTGCGGCGGATTTTGGCTTCGCTGGAAGACAGGAAAGAGAGATTGGTCCTCTGACAAGAAGAGATGGAAAGCGATCCTCAGAAAAAACCTTAGGCAGAAGTTCAAACAAATAGGGTCTTTGTGGTTTTTCCTTTTGGTTGATGTGTTGTGAAAAGTTCTTTTGGTTGAAGCATTTGGGAACGCGAGAGGATGACTACCATGCCTGCTTCTGAATTGGCTCTCAGCAGATCATTTTTTATATTGTAAAGACAACAGCATGCCACAGAAAAAAAGCAGTCACGATTATCAACAGAGCTGTATTTCAAGAGTTTGCAGCCACCAACCTCTCAAACATGAGACAGGAACAACCTGCTGGCTTTCCTTTGTACTTGTGCAGCTAGCAATGCCCTTTGAGGATGTTTTTCCTTCTCATACCTTTCTCCGCCTGTTGCTGAGAGGGAAGGTGTGTGTGAAAACTATTGTAATTTTACCTTGAAGGCCTTTGTGGACCTGGTAGCAAGAACCGCTGAAATACAACTCCACTGTGCATACGTTTCTTCCCCTGAGGCACGGAAAGCCGTTTCATGAGCAGCGACTGGGCAAATATTTAGTCAGGAGTTGACGGATGAGCTAGAGCCGCCAAAAAAGAATATCAATGCAACCTGGCAGATTTGCAGTCAGACAAACCAGTGACAGCGGAAGCCTTCCAAAGCCTGCCACCGGAAAAGGTGGCCCTCGCCGCTGGATCTTTGGCTTTGGCACGTTTTGGGTGGTTCTTCTGCTTCAGTCGGACTTCCGGCCACGCTTAACTTACACTAACGATATAGAAACTAGGTTTTGCATTGCATGACTTGGTGCTACCTTGAGTTGCTAACATGGTAACCCCACAGAGTGTTCTAGTGACTCTAGTGATTAGTTGCTCGGCGACTTCCAATGATGAGACTTTGGGTATGGCAGGCATTTCTGTATAGCCCTATGAAGTGTGAGAGGGGCCAGGGCCTTTGCCACGGCCTTTCTCAATTGAAGCTTTGTGAGGTGTTGTGCCCTGTTGGGAGTGGTTTTGAAAGGACCAATTGAGACCGCTGAATGCTGATTAGTCAAACATTTGGCCTTGTGAAGCACAAGATGCTGTTGTAGGATGGGACACTTCTTTTGCCCAGAGTGTAGCAGCCCCCCACATCAGGAAGAAACAACAGAGGGTTTCTTTAGACAATACTGACAATACCCACCAGGTTGATAGAAACTCCTGCTTCCAAGCCAAGTGAGGCCTTTGTACCCGATCCACTGTCTGGAGAAGGAGCTCTTTTCATCTTGTTTCGTCACCCGTAGATGTGAACCCTTGCAGACCAATGATCTTTCATCCAAACCCAGTGATTTGGCCTTCCAATCGAGGAGCGTCTGGTGTTGCTTAGGTCCTGTAAGATTAAAGGTCCTGGCCATGGTTTTTGCAGCACCGCCCGAAAATCCCCCGAACCGTGTTGAGGAGGGCGATGGCGGCGATGGCGAATCCCTATCAGTACATGCCCACCGAGCCGGGAAAGTCTTCGGACCAGGTGGGCTTCGAGCAGCTCTGCACGCGCTGGAACCAGGAAGAGGCGGAGGCAGACGGCGAGGATGCAAATGTCCAGGGGATGATGTGGGAACTCTGTTTTTCGAGTCTTTTGGTCTTGGTAGATAAACTAGATAACTTATGCAACTAGAAGCAAGGACGCTGCTAGGGGGTTTCATTGGGAGTCGACTTTTCCAGTTTCATGTGTGGGATCGGAGCGCATTTGGACTATGGGAACTCCGGACTCCTCAAGTCGGCGTTTGCGGAGCACGTTCGCAAACCAGGCCGTCCAGCGGTGTAAGCGCACCTTGCAGAGTGGAGAGACCACCCGAGAGGCAAGCGGAGATTGTGCTCTTCAGAACCTCCTGGTCCCTATGGCCCTATGGCTGCTATGGCTTGGGTTGAACAGTGCCATTCCAGACTCGATAGACCTCCTGTTTAAGAATGCGCCCAAAATCCCTGCCGGCCGGGCGAGGCCAAAATCCTAGCTCTCAATGAGCTGGAATATTGGGCGATGAGGCGAGTCAGCTCGTCCGTCGACAGGTCGTTGGTCAGGTGACTGTGTGACTGTTCGACTGAGTGATACACAAGCCCGAGTGATATGGTAGGCCAAGGCAGTTGAATATTGGAGTTCACCATAATCAAAGTTTTCTTATGCAAGGTTTGCATGGATGATGCTCACACTTTTGTTGGAAAAGGTATCATTTAGAATCTCTATATATGTATATATATATATATATCTTGTTACGTTCAAGGTTTTGCATGTACATGTGCTCATTGTGCTCACTTCCTCATTCTTTATCATGAAGTATCTAGTTGGTTGCGGCTGCCGCTGAGGCGAGGAGGTTACGATGCGGAAGTCATTCTCATTGGAATGCTCAAGTTGCAGACTCAGATTAAGCAGCAGTTAGCTGCCAAAGAGCTTACAGTGATTTGGAGATGAGTGATAGGACCAAAACCACTGGTAAAGTAACCGACTTGTAACTTGTCATTTCCCTCCTTGTGCACGAATTCTAAAGTTTGTTAGAGAGATGCTTGTGGAGATGGAGATCCTGGAAACACTGGAAAGTAGTGGCTTCAAACATAGGATTTGCTGTTCCTCAGGGATCCCGACCAGGAGGTCTCTGGGCAGGCTGGACGATGTGGGAGAGATCATTCAGACGTATATACAGATTTTTGGAGTTGTCTCCCATTGCCCAAAGTAGGGCCTATAGTGTGCGTAGCTGCATGCATAGTGCACCCCAATGAAGAGTTTGTTGACAGGCTCACATAAGTCTGAAAAAGACCTGGGCAGCGCATTTCAACATGTGGGTCAACACGCGTGTCGATCATGGCCCGGCCCTGAAGCTGCTTGCAGCAGTGGCGGTCTTTTGCGATGGTTTTTTGTACTTGCTGCCACTTGCTTTTCTAGTGCTTGCGGTGGCTTACCATTGTAATTATGAACCATTGACTGGATTTCCTGCGCATTGTTGGCCTGAAAGTTTGAGATGCTGAGGCCGCGTGCTGATGAAGGAGAAAAGGCTTGATGAAGCTCTGAAGATATTCGACAAGGTACATCCAATCACATTTGCCAAGAGCATTCCTGTTGACAAGGGAAGAGCTTCAATTGCAAGCAAGTGCTTTGAGCACTGCACTCATTGGGAATCGGTCCACAGTCCCTTGAACAAAGAGCAAAGGTGCACAGCCATTTCCTGTTGAGGTTGCTTTCGAGAATCCTCTTTGGGGAGAAGGCTACCACTTGCGAGCCAAGTGCTGGAATGCCATGAAGGACTCTTCCTGAGACTTGTCGTGGATGTGTTGGTCGCTCTTGTTGGTGGGAAGCGTGTGTGACTTCGAGAAAAGAACACCTTTGAAGGCTTCATTTCATTGCTCGTTCTGTACAGAACCTTCTCAACCTGATATCCGGACGGGACGATGGAAACACCACGTCCCCCCCCCATCCCCCCCCCTCGTCCCTTTCGTCCCTTTCCGCCAGGACGTCGACAAGACGATCGAGGATTTGAGGAAAGCGCTGGAGTGGTCACCTCAGCGAGTAGCGGTAGCGGCTGACCAGGTCCAGAGGTCCAGGACAGTGACCACAGGGCGTCTGAGGTCCAGGACCCTCTGTGTGAGTGAGATGATTGGAATGGTTTTCGCCATGACATGTGGATGATGAGAATGCTTGGCCTGCTTTGGAGTGAGCCAGTTGCAATTACTTCAGCTCGTCGGTTTGTATTCGTGATGTCTCTACGTCATGCATGGTTGGCTAAACAGAGCGAAAGAAACCTCAGGTTGTTTGTCACTCATGGCTTGGCTCACTCGAAGGTTCTGCCCGAACAACTACCTCGTGATGGTTGAATTGGGCATCACCCTCATGGACAGTGGCTTTGTCTTCTTGCCCACCGGATAGGTTGCCAGAGCTGTCAATTCTCTTACAGCAACTGCTTGACCCACCGGATTTGGGAGTCTCTCAGATAAGGGAGCCGAAGACGAAACACCTTTGTAAATCGAACACAGAGGACACATTTCTCGTGTTGACGACGTGAGTCGTGTTGATGCCTTGGAATAGACATCCCATGCAGGACAAGAAGAAGGCTTATGCAGAGGCAGCAAGCTTATTCAAGGCAAGGGCCAGGTATGCAATGTCGACCTTTGATGCAGCAAGGGATTGTTGGAACTTTTGAGGTTCTGTTAGGATGTGAGCCAATCACTGATATTTCTTGATCAAGGACTGATGGACCGGGTGTTAATAGGTGCCCACAGACCCAGATGCACCAAGACATAGAAACCGCTTTCCTACGGGCCTTCGCGCTGCCGCCTGGCAGCGCGCGCTGGACCTCTGTCCTTTCCTGCCGGTGGAGAGCTTCCTCCGAGATCTCTTCAAGAAGGCCAAACGCGGCGTTTCCAGCGGCTCCCTGCTGGGTTTGCTTCAGCGGATGCAGATGCGTCCTTCCTTTGATCACAATATCATATCTCAAAGAAACCTTTTCATTGGACCCATCATATGAAAGGTGCAACGATATGAAGAACAGTGAGGGCACAAGGGACACCTGGGCCGTGGCTCGACATTGACATTGTCTACAGTTGTTGTGAAGCGGAGGTGCCGGGCTTGCAAGAAGAATGGGATGCTGAAAAGAAGGCCAATGAATTCTCCTTGACCGCCCGGAGCTGAGCTCGTTTTTGTGCATGGACCGTTTTCTTTCTATGTTTGTAAGAGAAAGCCGACCATCGGTTTGGCACGTCAGAAGACCGACCTGCTCGTGGCAACAGCTCATAACAGCTCTCACTGTGTTCGCGAAGGCAACTTGCGTAAGAAAACAATCCTGGTCTCTCTGCGTGCTCCAAAAAGGTTCGCGAAGGCGTGTCGCAAAGGCAACACAAAACACCAGTGTAGCCGCGAAGGCACCCTTTGCACAAAAACATGTTTCGCGAAGGCTTGCGAAGGCAGATGCCAAGGTATTCTTCCAGTGTCTAGGCCCCCTAGTCACCAAAAAAACACAGATGCTCATGTGTTTCTTTCCTAGGAGCCACCTGCACGGCTCTTGCCAGACAGCTGGGTGCATCGCTTCGAAGCCACCGAGAGGCCAAATCAGGCCTTCCTGAGGAGCTTCGGCTGCACCGAGCACGAACCGAAACCTGAGCAGGGGCGGGGTGGTCTCAGGTCTCAGCGAGGTCGAGAATCTCTAAGGCACTCACTTACTGCATTTTGACTTCTCTGATTTCTATTTGGGACTGGGAGGCTTTGTGTTTTTCTTCCCTAAAAGGTGGGGATGCTGTTCCTCGGTACAATGTAGGATTTAGCTGGACCTTTATAGCTGTTTAGCCGCTCGAGCCAGCAACCCGAAGCGTTTGTTCATGAATGTGTTGAATTGACTTTTTGATTTGTTTCAAGCGATGCCTGTGTGGTTCCGCAACATTCACTGGTTTTCACTTTATTTTTTTTCTTCAGAAGAGGATCTCTGGTTGACTCCTGCGCCTTTTTTGTCACGGTCTTTGTAGTAAATCCTTCCGACGTTCATGCCAATGGGTTCTGTTGGATGCAGCCCGTATTTTCTCCCCACCGCCCTTATTTTGAGCTGGCAGGGTGGGAGGTGAGCTCGAGCAGTGGTTTGCAGAGGCCAGCTGAGGGGGGGAACCAGCTGAGAACCGCCCCGGTGGTGTTGGAGGGACCAAGGACCAAGTTTGTTTCATACACACTGAGGACTTGGTGAAAGATCGCAGAGAACGTTCGAGAAATATGCATTAGCAGATCTTCCATTCGTTATATATATATATTCCTTTTACATAGAAGGGCCCTTTCAATCTGACCTATGTAGACCTGTCAGAGCTCGGGAGCCAGACATGCGAAGGTTGCTCTTTGGCTTTCAGAACAGCATTTCTTGCAAATGAGGTCTCGCATCAGCCAATTCTGATGACTCCACATCATCTGACCAAGAGGAAGAAGAGTACGGCTTCTTCTCCATGTGTTCGTTGTTTTCTTTCGCAGCAAAAAAAGGTACAGCATCGGACCCGGTCACCGAATTCATCAAACCCACCATCCCATGACTTTTCTTCCCAGGTTCGACGCCGGGAGGCGGATGCGGCCACACAGAGAAAGCTTTGGTGCGGGGAGCCAAGTGAAGGGTGGGACTGCGTACCAGAAGAGACCGGGGTAGGCCCAACTGATTGCTTTTGGATCGTTCGACTGTTTGGCACCATTCCATTCGCCATCGGCTTCATGGGCCTTCCAGGAGCTCTAGGACTCTACGTCCTTTGAAGTTGATGCCAGGAGTGTGCTGGTCATAAAGTGGGATCCAGACAAATGGCCAAGAGAGCTTCGCTCGTTTACCACGCAGGCGTGGCTCGGCGGTCATCTTTGCACAAGTCATTGAAGCACCCGGTGGGGTGGCCGCATTTTGGTCCTTTGTTTGTCACCCCACAACATTCAACGGGCCAAGCTTCCCGTGTAACAGGGGTCGCGAAGAGAATCGAACTGAACGTACTAAGCTTATTCGATGCGATCATGTTTCTAGGGAATCAACTGGGTTCTGAAAGGTGTCCCAGTCTGGGAATGGCCAATGGCCAATAGATGCAACAAGAATGTTGTGCCTCATGGAGTATTTGTCACTCGTAAGGCTTTCCTTCGGCCGAAGCCTTTAAAGCCAGGTGCACGAGGCGCTGAAAGCCCGGCGCGAGCGTGAGCTTGCGAAGGCTCAGCCTGAGGCGGGAGGGATGAGGTGCCTATGCTTTTTGAATCTTTAGCTATTTGGCTCAAAAGAAGTCCACCATTTTGGCCGTGGAGTTTGGATTCATAGCCGAACGCCACCATGCGATCGCGCGGAACCGCGTTGCAAAAGAAGTGCCAAAGTGTGTCAGGCAATTGAGCAGTGGAAAGACAAGGATGATGAGGAGTTCGAAGAGGCGCAGGCGGAGTATGACGAGGTGCAAAGACTCTGGATCAAACGGAAAGAGAGGAAAAACCACGATCCTGGATTTCAGTTGAAGAACGGACCCACTTTAAGGGAAGGAAAGGACGGAAGGAATTGAGGCAAGAAAGAATTCAACTAATCAAAACGAAAGTCTTTACAATACTACTAGGTTGGCGGCCATTGCTATTAGGTTGGAGGCAAAAGTCTTTAACAATACTTTACCGCCTCCTTCAGGAAGCAGTGGCCTTCCTGAAGCGTTTGCGTGCGCAGCGTACTGGCCGTTGAGACCGAAAAAAGGCAGCGCAGCTCTTCGCAGGACTTTTTACGTCGAAACTCACAGGACGCGTCCCTGCGAACACCCTCATGTTTGTATGGCAGGTTCCCGTCTCCTTGTTCCGTCCCAGCACCTTCTGGCTCCAAGTCTGAGGTCTTGCAATGTCTTCCATGCCGAAACACAACGTTCAAGCTACAACGTACGCTACAACGTTCGTACGCTGAGCTCTTTTGCTTTCGTTTGACTGACCTGCACAGCTTCGTTTCACACCAACTGAGATGGGAAATTCCATTAGTTGTGTGGATGCCTAGTTAAAACGCACCCAGGTGCTTTGCCGCATCTCTGGCGCTTTCAAAGGTGAGATATTTTGGTTTCAGTAGCCGAACTATATATACTGTATATTATATAATATATACACTCGTCAATTTTGTTTGCAGGAGTCCAATTCAGACCTGCCTGTTCTGTTTCAGAAACTAATCGTGCAGAAAGGTTTCGTCAGAACCATGCTTTCAGAAACTGTTTTGGAGCAGACCCTGGATGGTTTGTTCGCACCCAGAGAGATGTGTGCGGAAAAATATGTGGCCTGCATAAGGCCACCAGCCTTGCTGCCGGTGGATCACCGATGTGGATGGTGAGCTTTCAGTGGAGGTGCCAGCCTGGTTTGGAGTCAACTTTCATGGTGCTTTAGGGTATCAGACAATTTTTCAGGGCGTCGCATCAGTCTGATAGCTCGACGAGAGTTTCATGCAAAAAGGTGGACAATGTACGTTTTCAAAGTTGATGCAAACATGTACTGCAATTCAATGTTGTTGTGAGAAAGTAACGAACAAGACAAGCTCAAAGCCAGCCCTGCAAACTAAGTAATGAGCACCAGCCAAACTGAAGGAATCTCGGGAACACGTCACTCCCGTCCCCCTTCTGAAATTTTTCCCTCACTCAGACAGTCACTCAGTCACTCAGTGACAGAGGCACTTAGTCTGTCAGGCAGTCAATCTCTTACTTGCCCTCACTCCCTCACCTTGCCTCCCTCCGCCCCTCCCTTCATTTTTCTGGCTCCATTCGCTCAGGGGAAGCGCCTGGGAAAGCATGGCGAGGCTGATGGGTTAGTTCTTCGGTCATTTTCTCGTTCCGATACAGTCTAGCATTCGTGCTTTTGATGGATCAGTTCAGGGATGTTCAGGGCGCGCAAGATTGACTTGCTCTGTGTTCACTTGGAGGAGGAACACAAGATGAACTTCGACACCAACGTCCTTGGCCCAACCAACATCAACCTCATTGGCGGCGGCACTCCGAGCGTCGTCACACAGGACGGCGAGCCTCTCGCCCGTGCAGTTTTTCTTCATCCAGGGTGCCCCCTAAAGCTGAAACGGACTATATATTCAAATAGACTCTTTATTTTCGGGCCGGCTCCTACTTAATTGAGTAGGCGCCTACTTAATTAAGTAAGGGAGTAAACGCGCTACTAGGCGAAGTCAGCTTCTACATATGGACGCAGGATAGCTCACGCTTCTTCAGGGGGAGCTTCCTTGAAGAAGCGCTCGCACTAATGTTTTTGTTCCTAGATTTTAAGGAAACTTAAGTATAGTCAGTATAGTTAAGTGAATTAAGGTTGAGCAGAGCTTTTGATGGAGGCTTTGGATGCTTCTTTCTACTCATCTCACTGCTTTCTTTGAAAGGAGCAAAGGCCATTGAAATGATTCGGAATGATCGGTGTTTTGGAATTCAACGTGGACGTTTGCCGCTCGAAAAAGCCAGGATCTGAAGCTCTTTGATGAGTCGCCCGGGGGCCCAAATGTAGAGATCGACAGGCGAAGCAAAACCGGTTAGAGAACATGATAGGACTCCTTACCACAAGACTTTGGGACGAGTGTATTTTGGGTTTGTGTTTGCACGGGCTCCTTGCCCGTGCAAGCTGCGAGCTGAGAGTTTTGAGTTCGATTTCTGCTTTGAAGAGAAACCTCGTGATGTGTTTGCAGCCCACGAAGCCGCGCTCAGGAGGTTTTCAAGGCCGCATCCCAGCAGTCAGTCGAGGGACAGTCATTCGAGGGACGGGACGTCTCCATCCAAATCCAAGGCGGGCAAGGTGGGTGAGGGTGTAACGACGCTGGAGTTCCTTCCTTCAGAGGGGGCTGAGCCAGAGACACGGCGGAAGAAGCAAAGCAGGGAAGGCTGTCTTTTAGCCCAGACATCCCTTTAGACATGCTGTGATTTAGAATCCAGAGCTCAAGTATGCTCACCGTGATGATGGATTTAGAGCAAGAGGACTTGGTGTGCCATAAAGATAGAGGGTTCCATGCGGTTCCCTGGCATTCTTGATTTGGTGGAGGCCACACAGCTCGAGAGGGACGAGGAGCCACTTCCCGTGGCCAAGGCAAACTTTGGCCCAATCCCAAAGACCAAGGAGGGACAGAGGGTGTTTCTTTCTTATTCCAAAAGGAAGCTCATGCCGCCATGAGAGTTTGTTATCTTACCCATGTCGCCACTTGACAAATCATCCAAGTTGGAGACTACTCGTGAAGCTCCGAAGAGTCTGCCTCAGTTACCAAGCACGAAGCCATCCAAAGCCGGTGAGATTGCAGGAGACTTCTTCCAGACCCTTGCCATCCCGCTCCCCAGCAACCCAGTCTGCAAAGCAGTTTGCGGATGCCTTCTCCAAGGACCGACACGCGAAAGATAAAGAGTTTTAAGATGTTTCAATCAATCACAGCTGCCGAACCACAGTTCTGAGATGTGGTTCTCCTTGCTGCCTTTTCTCAGTGATCCGTTCGTGTTCGCCACACCAAGTACGTAGGCCAAAACAGCTGTCCAAATCTGACCCTCCTTTTTCAGTGCCGTGAAGTCCAAACATGTGCCAACCTGTCCGAGAGGAAGTGATGAAGACGGACCGCAGCAAACCACCCATCAAGAGCACCAGACCGAACCTCTCCGGAGATTTCCGAGTGATGCCAGGCTGGAGACCGGTGTTTGTTCGATCGGCGTCCGGGTCGGTGTAGGGGCTGGTGTGGGTGTGTCCATCGGTGAATACCCAACACATGCAGGAGTGGCTTGGTCGAAGATCTATGAGCACTTTGCGAGTGCCAAGACGCTTTCTGTTGCCACGAGGAGTCAGGCGTTCTTGGCTGCACCGGTGCAGCAGAAGGCATTGAAGAGCATCATGCCAGCATTGTGGTCCTCGTTCCATCGTCATTGGACATGCCAGAAGACATCCGCTACGATGGCCGTCGAGGAGGTCGGGCAGATAGCTTTGAAACCACGTAATGGATTGTTTTGTTTTGGAGTGCCTTGCCTCAATGAAGATACTTGGTACAACCCTGCAGGAACTTGTGCAACAATTGGAGCAGACGGTTGTGTCGAAGATCTTTCATAAAGGCCCTACTGAGATGTCGATCTTAAGCAGCGTCGGCCCGGCCATGTGGTCCCCACTGCATCGAAAGTGGTGTGGGCACGATGCTCTGAAGACTCCCAAGCTACCGCTTCCATCGGCGCTTCCTTTGGCACCAGCCATCCAGAAGCTGGTTTTGGCCAAGGATTGTGGCCTTTTGCCCGCCCTGGCCTCTTCCATGCTAAATGTGGCCTTGAACATTGAGACCAAGCCAAAGGCTCTCCAAGATGGAAAGGCACGAGAGATGGGGAGGTTAAGTGGACGGGATCGTGGCTGCGAGTGGTTTTGCGAATCCCCTGAGATGATCGGTGTAGTTCCGGGCCGCACAAATCCCGGGCACGGACGGTCGTTTCTTTATCTGTCCGGTGACACTCTTTTGCGACCAGGTATGCAAAGAATCGGAAGCGACGACTCCCCAGCCGTGCTTGCGGGTGAAATGCAGTGTGGCTCCTGCCGTTTACTCCATATGGCACAAGCACTGGACAGGTGGAAGGCTGGGGGCTGCGCAGAAGATTTTTGGTCCATTTTGGAGCTGGCAGACTGTGAAAACCGTAGAGATACTGGTAGCGCCAGCGCAGCGCGAGAGAGAGAGAGAGAGAGAGATGAGATGAGATGAGATGAGATGAGAGGGGTTGATTTGCCCAATTAGCTGAGTAGTTGGGACATGCAACCGAGAGAGGGGCCGCCTCTGAGTCACGTGGTTGCGGCCGCCTCCTTGTGGCCAGGGCGACTTAAAGCGAAGTCGACGGTTGTGGAGTGTGAGATTGGCTGCATTGTGTGGCCAGGTCTGAGAGCTTTGTCGACCGGCAGTCGGTTTTCCAATCTTCCGGACGGTTCTCGACTCGGATCGCTTGGGAGATTCCGTGATCGAAGTCTTGAGGGTGGAATTCGTTTCAGACGTTTTTCGCTGGTTGGACAGGGAAACTGAGCAGGTCTTGGATTGATGAAATTAAATCGATGTGGCAGGCAACTTTTTTGTAGCTTTAGCTGCATGATGTGGGGCTACCCGACTTTGTTGACCGTGGTGCTTGCTCTCCAGGTGCCTCATGAAGTCCCGCTGTTGGTGTGACTGAGCTGGCCCATTTGAGTGGCAGGCTTTCTGCATGTCATTTGAGACTTGCCACTTTGTGGTAGAGACGAGAGAGGGTCAGGCAAGGGGCACTTTGAACATTTTGAATGACTTTGTTGGATGAAAACTGATGAACAGATGCGTGGGTGAGACATTGGTAGCGGTTGCCCTTTCTTTGCAGACGGTGTTTTTTCCACTTATATAAGGAAAGTAATATTGGAGTGTGGCTGGTCAACGAATTCATAGATCATTATCCAGTTAACTTACGGGTTTTGCAAAAAACCCGACCTTGAGGTGCAGGTGTTCCCATGCACCCTTTCTCCGAATGTGGTACACTGTCACATTGCACGAAGAAGCATGAATTGCTAATATGATAAAAGTCCGCGCTCGTCGAGGTTGTAGAGCAAAGTAGCCGTTGCCTGCCATGTCTATAGTATAGTATAGTATAGTATATATAATTTTCTATATTATGATATATTACACTACTATAATATATTGCAAAAAAAAAATCACTATTGACACAAGACTGCCGATCCTCACAGAATCTGCCAATCTGCCGATTTTTGACGTGCAAAGCAGGAGCACGAAGAGCAAAGGTAGGAAGCAGAATTTGTGACTTTTGCCTGTGTGTATCCACTCTGCAGAAGAGAGACGCCCATCAGCTTCGTTGCCAATGCTACTTTATGGTATCCAACAAGACTGGGTGAGTAGGACTCTGGGTTTGCACATGTCTCAGTTACGACGACTCACTGAAGTTCTTCAAGTGCTCGGAATGGCCGAAGAATCCCAGACAGACATCAATGGTGGTAGTGGTGTAGCACCCTGAGTAGCCATGAGTAGCTCAGACTGAAACCGTGAACTGGTGGTACAGGTGATGGCTCTCGGTTCGGTTGGCAAAGCACAAGCTTGTGTTTGCAGGGACTGGATATATATATATATATATATGGCCATATATATATACATCTATAGGAAGTATAATTGAGGACATGTCCTCTGCTCTTATGTGCTGGCCGGAATGGTGTCCTTTGCGCAATGACCACTTTTGCGCAAGATCCTTGTTTCTGCACAATAGATCACAATGAATAGCAGGGCTAAGAAAAACAGTTAGCACCTGCTGTTCTGACAGAATGCAAGCTGTGCCTACCAGAAATAAGGTACACCCAGTCAAAAAGAGCCAGTTAGCTTGACTTTGAGGAGTCTTGCACCATTTCCCTGATGAATGTTTTGCCGGGGTGGGCTATGACTTAGCAGATGAGGACTTCGGCTGAGCCATGTCCTGCGCCGTTGCTTCGTCGTGATCCTCAGGTCAGTGTTTGGTGAGTCTCGTCGCACAACCCCAATGGTTGAAAAGCGAAAAGCTGAGACTCCCACCGGAGGTGATTCGACCTGTGAGATCCGATCGATCCGACCTGAAAAAGACGAAAAAATATGAACAATGGTTGAAGCGGTGGCAGTTCATAGGCAATGTCAGCGCTTGGCTGCACCTGGAAGTGGATCTAGGCCTGGTAATCTTCTGCTAAAACATCCACACGGTCACACGGTGCAGGAGTACTCAACAGCACTGTAAGTCAACATATTAGCATCAATTGAAAGGGTTCCTGTAGCACAGGGTAGCTTATTATTCTTAGCTCTGAAACCTTTGACAATTTGAAAGAGGTGGATGTGCAGCAGCACTCTGCCAGCGACAGTGGAGGGTACAATAGACCACTGGCTGTTTGTTTACCAAAGAGATCGAAAATACCCACCAATGTCTATCCTGACTTGTTGACCCGCCCTCCTCCGCCACAGAGTTATTCACCACATGCCGTTGACCAAAGTGTCCATGGCGCAGCAGATCTGACATGGTGGAAGGCGAGGGGCATCAAGACTGAACTCAACCTAAGAAGTTGACTGAAATTGGAGGGCATAATGATGGTGCTTCTGCCTTACAATGCAGGAGTTATGTACCAACACCTTGCCATGAAATAGGAATCTCACACAATCTGGATTCTTGGAATTCTTAGGATTGACATGGTCCATGAATATGTCAAGCTTCACTCTACGCATCGTCCAGGCAATGCGGACCGCCCCGGACCCGATGTGGTTCTGGAGGTGGTCCACGGCTCAGAGACCACATTGCACGGGGCCGTCTAAGGGCCCAGGTTTTCCAATGCTTCATGGTGAACGATGTTTTTTTCTTTTTTTTTTCTGCCCTGTGATTGACCGCGGTCGAAGTTTGAATCGAGCTGGCCCACAGTTTCCCCCAAGAGAAGTTCTTGAAGCCGAGGACCGACCGGCATGAGACAGCCATGCTGAGGCGACCGCCCTGGCCGAACGCATGGGCGGCGCTGCCCCTTTGGCGATGATTTGCCTGGATCCGCAGGCGCCATGCAGAGTGCTTTGCTGTTCAAGAGAGGAGGATTGAAGACAATCAAACCATGCACCAAAAGAGTTTGGACCACTTGACATGCGCAATCCTGACCCGAACCTGGCAGGTATTGGAGTATGGCCGAGAACTGATTGACAAGAAGGCACAGGGCCGCCAAACTTGTGGCGACTTGCGGTGGAGACTTAGCTCAGGTCTTAGGCAAGATCAGCAAGCTCTAGTAGCAAGAAGCTACTAGTAACCAGGGCATCGCTACTAGTAACAAGGGCATCGCTACTAGTAACAAGGGCATCGCTACTAGTAAGAAGGGCAAAACTAGTCTCTTGAGTCTTGCAGGAGATAGCGATACTTGCATTTGGAGTTGCTGCACTGCCAAGATGAGACTCTATGACTTGGGCTGTCTTTGTACAAGACTGCTTGTTATATGTTCCATTAGTCGGCCACGGACTTCTCTATCAACATCACGATTGCTGTAAACTCTAAATCATACATCGATCGTGCACAATTCTTCTGCTCCAATGATAGTCCACCACCATGCATGTTCGTCTCGTCGAGAATCTTCGTCTCGTCGGCAGAGGAGTCTGGCCGAATCTCTTTGTGCCAAACCCTAGAGGATATCTTTCAAGGCTGCGTTGCGTGTTCCGTCGAAGACTTCCCAAAGAAGTCTTCCCAACTGTCCTTGGCATATGGGAGACTCAAGACTGCTCCAATTTAATTGTCAGTCAGTTTCGTTGACAGCACCAGAAAGATCAACAGCTTCGTTTCTTTGGCCACAGCCAGGGTTGCCACTGCCACAGTGCTTGGAGTTTGGCCAGAGATGTGCATACCATGGCAGTCATGCAATCATGGCAATCTACAGTATCTCACCTCGAAGACTATGCCATTTCTGTGCAAGGTCAAGGCAGAGACTGCAAGCTGCGGATCGAAGCGGGAGACGGATCCCAGCCGTTTCCAATGGCCCGAAACCTGTCTGGGCTGGCGTGTGTCCAGTACTTGTTGGGGCCATGATTTTTCTTGCAAATGATTGCAGCATATTGTGGCCACGGTGAAACAGTCTTTCAGTTTCAGTCAAAGATTTTGATGCAGTTGTGACTGCGGCGGTTGTGAGCGCATTTCAAGCGATCTTCACGCAGGGCCGACAGCCACTTGCTCACATTGTAAGCAGATGATCAATGCAGCGTTTGTCACGCAGAACAACATGGGGTCTCTTCCAACCAATTAGACAATAGAATGCCAACCAATAGCATACACATATGCCCCTGATGCAGCATGCTTTTGGTTTTTGTTTTGGCACATCAGGGGCGCAGCATCCAACTTGTGTTCGCAGGTTCGCAGGTTGCAGACTGCCCGCGCATCAGACTGAGCTACGCCTTCCTTCTTATGCACCATGGGCCGAAACTGCTGGCAGCTGCAAGCTACTGCAGCACTCCGAGGAGTCCCAGATACAGGGTTGAAAGGGTTGGAGCTTTTGGGAACAATCTATTGACCTGTTTTTTTTCAAGCAGCAACATGACAAAAAGCCTTGATTCAATCAGAGCCCGATTTATCCCTCCAGTCGAATTGTCAAGAAGCCAAGTTTTCTGTATATATGCAACTTGGTTCCTGTACATACGCCTTTTCAATCCTTTTCACATGCTTTTTGGTGGCAATTTCTCTGTCCAGGTCCTCTCGGGCCGGGAATGCTTTGCTCCAGCGCGAGCTCCAGCGGGCGTCCTCACCGCTGCGGGTGCTTCGCATCGTCGGCATCTGGACGACAGATGTTTGACCGGGGTCTAATATAGCTGCAACTTCCGAAAAGCGGACCATGCAGCCTCGGAAGTGAAATGCAGTAAACGCATGTTTTGCAGAGCGAACTGTCAACTCCATGAAGTGAGCGAACGTGTGTCTTGATGAAGCCAGCCGTCAGTGAAGCTTCTTGAACCGGGACACACGTGAGAACTTTTTAGCGGACTGAGACTGAGAAGAGATGTTCCGTATCCTCGACCACCTACAGCAATCCCCCTTGGCCTGCCATGAAACGACTTCTGTGTGTTGTGTGAAGATTCCAGCCATATGAGTTTGTAGTTATGGTAGTCTAGTAGGGAGACCCCCAACCTTTTCTTTTCTGCAAGGCGAGAACCTTCATCTCCTGGATGCGCGCAATGTGAGCTTGGCCTTGGAAAAGCTGGCGGCGCAGCCCGAGCGGCACGATTCCGGGCGTATGCACCTCCCCTTGCGCCGCCGTGCCGCTGCGGACGTCGAGCTGGAAGAGGTCCCATCCTGGGTCCCTTGACGACTTCTGGTGTTCTATCGAAGGATTCCGATTTCGGAACCTGGCGCCAAACACATGATCCATGTCAATCATGAGCTGTGTAGGCTTTTCGAGGCCTCGTATCCGAAGTCTTCCTTCCACCCAAAGATCCACTGCTGCTTCATGGCCCCGTGGTATCCCCAAGGCGTCCGGTCAGAGCGAGGTCTCGGAGACCTTCCCAAAGCTGCTGGATTGTGTTGCAGATGTGGTGACACTGCTGGAGAGCAAGGACAGAGAAGCGAGATGAAGTGAGTCTCATTCTTGTAGATGAGCAAGGACAGCAAATTTGTTGAATCCTGAAGTGCTCTAACAGCCAAGCAAGAAAAGTTCTTGTAGATTGGCCTCAAGAAGGAAAAAGAGCCCAATCGAGTCACTATCTCTGAACAGTGTTGATGGACCGAACATTCGACTACATCCAATCCACTGCCTGTTGGGCTGGGCT